GCCCTGCAGCTGCGGTTCACCCAGTGACGGTAATGTCATCTTGCCCACTCCTTCAGGTGGCCACAACCTCTCCTGTCTGAGAAGGTGGCTCTCACTCCGCCTGCCTGTGAAGACGTTTTCCTGCAGTTCGCTTCTGACTCCCTCGTGTGGCTGCAATAAAAACACTAAAACTGTTTATGTTTTTACATACTCGTTGTCTGGCTGATTCTGAATCCAAAACCCTGTTTCTTGACATGCATAGTGCATTTCAAGGACTGATTTTCCCCCAAGTCTAAATATATTCTCAAGTAAACTTTGTTTAAAAAAATCCTAACCAAAAGGATTCAAATGGCGGTCAGGATGTGAAAATATTTTAGGTAAACATAGGCATAACATGTTAGGTACAGAAGACCTGAATTGATGTTTATTAAACAAAAATAAAATGCACACGCTATCCCGGTGCCACAATTTATATTTTAATATTACTCGCTTTTATTTAGCTTAGCAAGTTAAATAATATTTGTCATGTGAGGTATCTGAGGACCAGTGAAATTGAACTTTTCAGTATAAAAATGTGTTTTAGTGCGACAAGAAAAAATAGCCCGGCACTCTTTAGCCCATAAGAAGCAGGACTGTCAAATCATTTCAACACTGCAGCACAAAAATATTGACCTTGAGATGTCATTGATGTAAAAGAAGAGAATAAAACGTTCATATTTTACATGTTTACAACATAAATATTGTATATAAGTGTGCATAGTAAAATGCACAAGGGCTGAATGTGATGTTTATGTTTAATAATGATATTTAGGTACATTTCCTGTATAACACAACTTCAGCTTGATGTTTTATACCAAATTTTATAGCAGGGATGAAACATTTATTTGCAGCAGAGTTTCCTGGGGTCTATTTGTTGACATTAAACAAGCTTAGGGCAACGGGGAAACCAATACCTTCAGGGTGTGCTTGTGTGTGAGGCTATCCCTTTACTGTTTTAATGTTCACAACATAAAATGCAATGTTTTCACTGCAGGTTTTATAGCACAAATTTAAAAGTTTAATTAACTTAAGGCCAGGCAGAGCTTGCTGACATTAGGGAGCCATTGCAAGTCTGCGGTTTCTTTGACTGAGTTCCACTTTGAGAGCAAAGTCTACTCTAAAGGGAAGCAATCAAGACGGCCGTTTCACATTTCTTATATGACTATTGATTTGTGTTTTTCAATAAGCCTGAAGTACAAGAAATAACTGAATACAATTTAAACCAACAATAAACTTGTGTAGCAGAGTCCCCGAAGAAGTATGTTTAAAACTGTTTAAAAAAATTGTTTGATATTTCTAAAAAACTGTTCATTAGAATATATATATTTTTTACAATTCACCAAAAAAAGTGTCCATAATCACAGTGGATCAAATATCGGTGTTGAGTCTAAATTTACAGAACTGAAGGCAAGGAGACTTTTTTTTTTTTAATTATTTAAAGACACATTATCACTTTCCAATTAAATTAAGACTGATGACTCGGGGAAAAAAATAAATATTGACTCATTTCCTTGAAGACTGGCAAAATTTAACACATATCACTTGTGTACTTTTTCTTTTTTCAACCTCTGGAGGCCTTGGAGTGACAGTGGTACGTTAGCACTGATGCATCACTGTATTTAATTAGAACAATTTGGCACAATGGTAATCCCAAAGGTACAGTATCTCTACACTTGTTGCTGTTATCTGGATTGTGGCCCTGTGGGGCTGAAGGCAGTTACTGTTCACTGATAGGACGTGAGATAAAAAAAAAACTTTGCTCTCGCCTTGAAATAACGTCCGCAGAGACAATAAAGGAGCAAGGTTTGACTAGTTGAATAGTTGTGCCGAAATGTACTGCAAAATAGTGTATTTTTAAATAATCAAGTAAGTTTGACTGAGATTTGTTTGCAGAACTAATAAATTAGGGAGCGCTAAAAGATAATGAAATGGAAAGGAGAAATGTTTTTTGTAAGTGGACACACTGGACTGATGAATAAATAGGATAGTGTCATCCCTTAATTCGCTAAAAAAAAAACCTTTTGGGCTCTTTGTAGGTAACCTCACTTTGATTTTGTCCATTCTTCCAAATGAAGTCATTATTTTTTTAAAGGTTCTAACCCTGCATAGCCCGTGGTATTAATCTAAAACTAGTTGATTGGTGATTCCTTCAATCCAAAGGATAGAAAGCTGCAAGCAACATTTGAATAAAAGGCCAAAATATAAAACAAATCTTGTTTTTTTAAATGAGACTATCCAGCGTAGAGCCTGGGGGAATTTCCTATGTGTTTTTAATAGTGTTACACTCACTTCCAAATTAAGTTCTATTGATCGGATACCAAAGGAAAGTGCAGTAATTGTGTTGTGAATGTTAACAATCTGTTGAGCTGGCTGCTGTGGATAACACTGGTTGAGAGAGACAGACCTCATGTAATTTAAAAATATATATATTGGAATGCAAAAAAACACAAATAAATAAGAAAATACATCAAATTTAAAGAGAATAAAATGAGAAAATTACAATTCCTTGTTTCTTTTAGAGCATGGATCATCTGCTTGCATGACCCAACAGATGTGTAGCTTTTTAGTTAGTTTGAAAGGTTTCAGGTTTAAGTCCTGTCAGCAGTCCATTAAGTCCATTGCAGTAAAAATAAATAAATAAATAAATAAAACACAATTTTTTTTGTGTGGTTACAAGGGTTATTGGACAGCAACAGACTTAGGCAATATGTGTGTTTTGCCTAAAAATTGTATAAATACAATAAATATAAAATAAGGCCTTCATACACATCACCCAAAATTACAATAAACTCAGTCCTTTCTTCCTGACTGTTATTTGTTTTGTCTTTTACTCAAAGACTATAATAATATAAAATATAACTATTACTTTGTGCTATGATTTTCTCTATGAAACTCACTTTTTAAGTGTGAGTCTAAAAGAGGGTTAAATGAATAGGTTATTTTTATATTCCAGTTTACCCCATTCTGACCAAATAGACTAAAATATAAAATAAATGTTTGCAAGTATAACTAATGGCAATGGTAAAATGTAAAAAAAAAAATGCTTTTGGTTTTTCAAAATAGGTATCCAAATAATATTTTTGCCTGCCTAATATAAACAAAGACGGACTAAAATAAAAGTGGCATGGAAAATTGATAAGCATCTGATAAGTGAGGCATAGAAAAAAAAAAAAAAAGAAGAAACAATTGTTATTAATTCCAATCTGGATCCCAGTTTGTAGCAGCTGATCATATCAGCACACACTTCTGACCTAAAAAATGACTTCATCTTCTGCATGTTTGTCAGTAATTTGTTAATTAAGTTGGACTGAGGTAGCATATCAGAAAAAAAAAATGCATACAAATAATGTCAAACATGTTTTAAATTGAATTGTTTTAACTAAAGCTTGATGTGGATTAAAAAAACAAACAACTAACTGTCAGATGCAAATTATATTTGATTTTCTTGGATAGAAGGATTTTTTTTAGATGAAGTGGCTGTGGGTTGACTCATTTTTGGTGTAACAATTTATTCAATCGGTGTTTTGTGTTAATCAGAAAACAATGGGTATGTGTCAAATCTGTACTTCATTGGCTCAAAATACTTCAGCCTTGCTCTTTTTTGTTCAAACCAATAACAACTGTAACACAAATAAATAAAATATCAATGAAATCTGGTGGTTTGTTCATTAAAATGATCAACTCTCCTGGAGGAATAAAAACCTACATGGCAGACATTGCCTAAATCTTAGCTCCCAAGGGCACTTTGGTCCATAGCAAGCATCCAGCTTTCCCCCAAAGCAGAGCAGGGCCATATAAGAGTGAATGCTGAGTCATAAAGTTTGAAGTAGAAAATACCCCCAGAGATGTTGTCTCACTGTGCAGTGCAAAGAACATTGCCTTGATCCGATACATATACAGCCAAAAATCCACTGAACCTTGTCTTGTCTCCTTAACACTGGCATGTTTACAGGAAACCTCTAACCTGCTTCAAGTCTGGCTCTGCTCCTAAATGTGATTACTGGGTTCTTTAGTATAGTGGTTTACAACTGTCCTTCTAGCCTGATAACCCGCCTTAAAGTAATTTCTGCATGACTCACATTATTGAAATGTAAATTTCTGAATTTCTAACTTCTCTTATCAGAATAAATATGCTACACCTGTAAATAGAAAATAAGCTACGGGTCAAAAATGCCTGGAAGTTTTGAAAGGATTTACTTCAAAGCATCTAGATTTGCAGTATGAGCAAATGCTTTCTTCATTCACACATATTTAGGCGTAAACACAACTCCCCCAACTGCATTATTATCTACTGTATCTATTAGCTATCCTCTTTGCTCTTATGGCATAGCTTGGAAACAATGAATAACTCAGCCCCAACACCACTCTCCCACCCACATGTGAACACACACACTAGCATGCACAGTCTGTATTTCCACATACTACTAAACATATGTAGTTGGGTGTTTCACATCAATAAGCATGCTCAACAAATGGTGTCCCTGACCTTCTCTTACACTGGCTAATTGCCAGGGAGAACAATTAGCCTGATAAGTATCACTTAATGCCTTCCCCGATGAGGGGCATTGTAATACAAATGCAAATAAATTTTCATCCTGCTTCCTCATTATCATCCTAAATGGAACATGTGGAGCAGGTAGAAATGGTAAATTGGAATTGTTTTCTGAATGGTGTTATGATGGAAAAAGAAAAAGGGGGCAGGTCTTAAGTTATTAATGGTGCTGTTTCTACTTACTGTAGATAGTTGAGCTACAGTGTGTCAGTAATGAAGTAGAAAACACTTGTCACCATCTTAAGTTGCTAAATAGAAGAAACTCAAAAAGTATGTGAATCTCAGGACCAAAGTGCCCAATGTGGGGCTAGTCTTATAAAAAGCTTGAAAAATGTTATTGTCCAAAGCAACCATGTGAAATGTCAATGACTTATCACTGAATCAATTTTTACTTACTCAGAAAAAATACCATTTTGATTCTTGAGCCATTGCCTGAATGATCCATGTCACTAGACACCCCTTAGGAAACATCATTACCTGTTTTGGAGAATATGTATATTTCCTCTTTACTTGCCTGCTGTTGGTGTTTATCTCACAATTTTCTAAAAGGCATTAAGTTGATTTTACAGCTTACAACTTTTGCTGGGCAGAAATACCTTTCCAGTAGTCCAAAATATCATGAAGATCCTCGTCCTTGGCAAACTGCACCTTTTTACGCAATGCATGACCTGCTGCTATAAAAGATGCTTCCTCACGAGGATTTTTCTTGTACGGTCGGAATCGCTCCCATATGCGTAATGTGCTCTCAGATGAGTACTCTGGACTGGAGGAATAACCAGAGTTGTAGCTGTGATGACGAGGAGAGAGCTGGGAATAGGTGACTGTGGCATCCCTCTTGGTACCACCAAGTGGTTTGAGGAATGAGGCTTTTTGGGCTGGTGAGGGCAAGTCATTATCACCCTCATAGTAGAGTGCAGGAAAGGAGTGCCTGTGCTCTGAGCTGTGGTAGTCTGGTTGAACCTCTAGGTGATGCTGCTGCTGTCCAAGGCCAACAACCCCAAAACCACCACCATTTCCATTATTACACCCCATTCCACCCCCATTTAAACTAACTTTACCACCATTTAGGTTTCCTTTGCCATTTCCACTGCAACCCCCTACTCCACCAGTGCCTCCATTTCCACCCCCACCACCACAACCTATAGGACTGCTCTTTTCTGTTGGGTACTTGGGTGGATCATTGCGTTGCTCAGGGACATCCACACTGTACACTCTTGGATTCTTAACAGGTCCTGCAGCAGGAGTACCACAACGGTTTTTCACCTCAGCACTTGGCTGCCTCTGAAGGGGCCGCACTGCATTAGCTGGTGGTGGGTCACGGTAAGGAGGGGTGAGAAACCCACCTCCACTGATGCCAGGCCGCTCAGACAGGGGCATGACCAAGGGCACTGGGGCCATTGATGGAGGATGAGGCAGCTGATGCAGCTGTGGATGAAGCTGAGGATGAGACTGAGGCTGTGGCAGAGGATGAGGTTGAGGGTGTGGCTGAGACTTTGGATGTACCTTTGGAGAAGAAGCCATTGTTTGATCTCCAGGGTGGCCAGGAGAGAGGGGCAGAAAGTTGCGAGGGATGGATGTGATGCAAGGAGGTTGGGAGGAGGACACAGAGTTGCCATTGTCAACTGTGGACACAGCACTAGATGAAACATCCATCTTAAGAGCATCAATGCAATTGTTGATGATTTGGTTTACTTTGTCTACCTCCTTGGCAATTGTGGAAATCTCTGATGCTGAGCCATGACCATCATCTGAATCCTCCCCAGTCCCATTTTCAGCTCCACCTCGCATATCAACAACTACTTCCCCTCCTACTCCTAGTCCTGCAGTAGCTACTACTACATCTCTACCCTCCACTGGCACTCCTGTTGTCCTAACCTCCATGTAATTGCTTTTGCTGCCCATTGCTTCAGAAAAGGCGCTGGCCATTTTTTCTACCTGGGGCAAAGTAGAGAGACGGGAAGAACTGGTGTTGGCTGATCCATGGAGCATTCCTGTGCTAGAAGAGGCAGAAGGTGGAAGCTTTCCTCCAGCTCCTCCTGAATGGTGATGATGAGTCTGCTCTTGGAGACGCTGCATGGCACTAGGGTCATTGGCCACAGCTGCAGCAACTTCTGGACCATATCTAAAAAGTCAAAACTCAAAATTAAAAAAGAAAAATGCCCCCTTGTAATCTTCTTTTCTGATGTCATACTGAGCGCTCTTTAAAGTGTAATTTGTTGACAAGGAACTCTTTGTATTATTTTTAAATAGGCTAAACCTCAAACAACTTATACAGCCATGCATAAACTTATTAAGTAAAATGGTGACGTGTTTCTACATGAATTTAGAATACATGGAACTTTCAAGACTTAACAAAACAAAAACAATACAGCAATACATGTTCAAAACTCACATTTACATCATTTTGAAGAAATAATTGAATGAAGAATGTAACCTACAGCAACTGCATTCCCAAACATTTAAGAGTTGCTCACCTCATTTCCAGAATTGTTTTCTTCACACAGATAGTTTTTTCTTTCTCCTCCTGTATGCGTCGCCGTCTGAGGCAGTAGTAGACAAATCCAAGCACAATGACCATGCCAAAAAGACATCCCAGGATAGTCATAATGTAGTGGGTAGTTGTAGATGGATTGGCACGGTGATCCTCAGGCCCAGTAGCTCGTGTAGTAAAGAACAAACAGGTATGATTGTAGCGCTGAGATTTAATTACAGAAACCACACAAAAAGTGTAATTTGTGTGTGGTTTCAGTTTCTCCAATCTAATTATGTCCTTTTTGTTTTTAATTGGCTGGATGTCTGTAGGAACTGTCTGGTTATACTGGGAGAGGATGTACATCTTACTGTATGGATTTGGAATCTGCACAATTAGAACAGCAGTGTAAAGGGAGACAGTTTCAAGCTTCATAGAAATCTGACTGGCATAGTTTGGATCAGCTGTAGATGTAATTGTTGGCTGGGGGTACAAGCCAAAATCTGAGTCTAAACCCATCCCTGAGCCATCTAAATCTGGCATCTGTGGGGTCATCCCTGGAATAATCACTCCATCACGACAGACAGTCAAAAGAATGTGACGAGCGTTTCTTCCATGTCCAGGCACTGGGCTTAGAAGTGGGTATCCCATCATTTCTGGAGGGGTTTCACATTGGAGGCGGTCATAGGTATGGGTGACATTATTAAATTCATCTAGCCAGGTCAAAAAACTGTAGAGCTCACAGCCACAGTGGAAAGGGTTTGCTGCAAGTTCACAAACCATCAGCCTGTTGAGGACAGTGAAGGTAGATGGGTCAAGACGGGCCAACTTATTGGAAGATAAATCCAGGCTGCTAAGACTGGGGCACTCCCAGAAGGCATTGGTAGCAATGACCTCAATGAGGTTGTGCTGCAAAAACAGGCACTGCATTCGGCCCAGACCTCGTAACATGCCCTCAGTCAAGTTGATCAGTTTGTTGTAGCCTAGTTGAAGAATCTGACCAAAAAAAAAAAAAAAAAAAAGCAATGGTTATTGAATTTTCTTATTAAAAACAAAACTAAGAAAACTGTCAATGGGTGATTCTAGTTGGAATTTGCTATATACATATTTTTATTTTTCATATTTTGCACTGTATTATGCAGCCCAAATTTAATTACTAAAAAGGGAATAAAAACTACAAATTAGATGTAAAATATGATGGAAAGACTATAAATAAACAAATGAATGCTTAGTTACACTAGAAACACTGTGGGGCAATGGTTATGTTGTTTCCCAAGCCTCCATTGTTTAGCAATTTATCACTATGAAAATTTAGATAAAACCTACAAACAAAAGTTGTTTGATTGATTACTATTACTTAGCATTTTGTGCTAAATAAGTTAAAAAATTCTAAAACAAACAAAGTAAACAAAAAAAAAAGAACAATTGCATCTATGCTGTTAAAACTTTATTTTTCAGTTTTCTCAGTGGATTCATTTCCTAAGACTTTAATACAACTATAGTGTGTGTAGCTATATTAACTTATTATTTTGTTCCATTTAATCAGCGATGATATAGCTAACCAAAAAAATTATCTTTGCTAAACCATATTCCGCTAACTAAATAAATGAGCTTCCTTAACAAAAAATAAACAAAAAAATATAGCTTAGCTAATTAATAAATAGGTTAAAAAAATAGCAGAAGCTAGTACTAAACTGCTAACTGCTCAGAAGCCTGTTAGTCTGTGTCACGTCTTTGTCTCCTTGCAGTTGAAGCTGCATCGACCAATCATGTTTTATCACATGTACATGTAGTTAGCCAATAGTTTGCTTTCAGATAGCTGCTAAATACATAGTGCAGCAAAAACCTTTTTAGAAAAGAGGCATGTAAGGTCAGAAAATCAAAATTCTGCTGTTGATTACTAACCTGTAGGTTTGCCTGTCCAGCAAAGGCCCCATCCTCAATGTAGCTGATCTCATTCTTGGTTAGATTGAGATCAGTTAGGTTTGTAAAGCGGTACATGGAGGTGAAGAGCACCGCCTTGAGTTTGTTCTCGTTCAGCCGTAGGTCATGAACCTAAGGGAAACAATAAATGAACGACTTTCACTTTATACAATAAACATTAGAAATAAGCACGAACCAAATGATTCAGGTTAATTCTCTTCCAAAAGCTCTACACATGTATTGCTCTTGTAGGTTGAATATAATTTTGGTGCCTACTGAGTTGTTTTTAATAGTTATTCAGCTGATACAAACTGGGCTTCAGCCTGTTTGGATGCAGTTGCACCTTCCTACATGTTCTATAATCCTACAATTTGTCCAGAAAAAATAAAAATAAAATAACGTGTAGAAAACTTTCAGACAATGTAACATTTCAAACTTTTGTGCTTCAAATCCAATTTCAATGTTTGCATTTAAACCCAATTACAAATTTTGTTGCCTTCTGACGTGAAAAACAAAAGAAAACAACACAAAACTGAAAACAAAAATGTATATATGGCAATTTTGCCACATTAAGTCACATTATGCAAACACAGATAGAAACAATGTGATTGTAGATGTAAATAAACTGGCAAGTAGAATGCCTATGCTAAGCGGATCATGTGCTGAAGGGCTCATTATTGTCTACCATCAAATAATAATGTTAAAAAGACAATATTTTTTTATAACTATGTGAATATAAATACGTTTATTTTGGTGGAACACATTTAGTTCAGGAAAAAATAAGGACTAAACCTTAACAAAGCAGTACATGTTTATTCTGTCAGCCAGCAGTCCCATTTTACAGACCCAGGCAGGCAGAGGAGCAACAATGCAGAAAGGAGAACACAGAAGACAGAAACGGCAAACATAGTCTGAACAATGTTGTATGCTCACTATGTATGCAAAAATGTGCATTAAATCTTTGCAACAGTTAAAGTAACTAACAATCACATCTGCTTTTGAGATGGCACTATCATAGCTTAAAATGCATGAAGGCATGCACATTAATAGAGGTGGCTGTGAACGTATAAACAACGATGATGAAAGCCTGATAGATAGGCTCACACTGACCGTGCTGTTGATATGCTGGGGAATTGTTTCATATGGAGGCTGGTTCTGACTGCAGATAGCTAACCAAACGTAACCTTTATCCCCTTCTATCAGCCAGCAGTCGCCTTTCACAGTTCCAGGCAGCTGGAGGAGCAACAATGCAGGAAAGAGGACAGAAAGAAGCAGAGAAGAAGACAGAAAGGGCGAACATAGTCGGCTAGCCATGGTTTGATTTAAAAGCGTTTGATGTTGCCTCGGTGGACTGGCTGTATAAATGTAGTGAGGAGCAGGTCACATTCAAAACTAGAAGGGCTGCAGGTTAGGGAGCAAGCAGGTCAATTCCAGGTGGAAAAGAAGTTGAACGGAAAAGGTTTTCTTGATAATTAAAGCGCAGTGGCTGCTCCTGTCCCCATTTTAGGTGTTTCACGTCAAAGGGTTTTGAAGGCGATTGGCCCTGCAGGAAGTCATGGCCTCTGACGGTAGTGTGTTTTTATTAACTGATTGAGATGGTGTCACACAGAGCAAGGTTGTTGTCCTATGAAAAAAAAAACAGAAAGAGAGAGAGAAAGGAAGAAATTATTCTTTTAACAGCATCATTAGTGTAGTATCTCACAGAGCAATGACTGTTTGCAACTAATTTGCAAGTGGTGTTCATGAAGGAGTCTACAAAGTGTATTGTTGCTTGAATATTGAGCATGTTCAAAAACATATGCAACATTTTTTTTCTCCCAAAATAGTTGCAGAGTTGTTGCAGGCATCTTAAACCCTTCTTAATTGCATCCTTATTTATTTTTAAAGCACAAGAGATGCATTTTGGTTGCTGAACGGGAGATCTCTGCTTTTAAAACATCTGAGACATGTACAAATCTTAAACTCCTGAGACCCATGGGGAAAAAAAGGGTAATTTTCTTTTTCTTTTTCATATAAATCAAGTGTTGAGGTGTCAAAAACACAATGTGAAACCATTTTTTTTTTACCTAATTCAAATTAAATTTTATAATATGAGTACTTCAGTGCTCAACAGGATTTTGTTGATTGAGTGTGCTACATTAACAAAATTCAAGAGCTGATAATGGAAATCAAAAGCTCCACTAAAATCTTTAAAAACAGGATACCGAAACATAAATACATATGACCATAGGAAAGTAGGTCATAGGTCAACGTAAAACTTATTAACTTTTCCCTAGCTATCGACCACAGGCCTCCGAACAATTCATCACGCTGGACTTTCTGTTTCACTATTGTATAAGATATTATGAAATCTGAACAAGCACTGTGATCATTTGGAGACCTAAAGGAACATTTGACAATTTACACATCTCACATGTTCACATGTACTGTTGCACCCAGCCATTTTACATCTGAAAGGTCTTGGACTGACACCATTTCTGGCAAGTGGACTGCATCATACAGTAGTTTCTTATTTTCCTGATTTCTGGAGAGACTATCATTTTAATCATTCAGCTCTTGTTGATATGTTTGTCTATGGTTTATTGATACCTTGATCAAAAGGAGTTTGAAGTCCAGCTACTGGGAAGTGTTTCTGCAGCTTGTTGCAAAGTCTGACTTTCTTGTTGGTGCTGGAGCCAAACCGTAAGTCCACACATCAACCATTTTCATTTTTATCTTATATTTTGCATCAACTGCAGGTATTGTACTTGAATTTGCCTCTTTTTTTTCTTGACCATCTGGAACAAGTGCTAGAAGTTCAACTCCATGGACAGTCAATGCCATGACAACAGGCTTCATGTCCATCCATTTGGTATTTCATCAGGTCTTTGTACAATCATTTCTGATGACCTCCACCTCCTACTTTTGTGCTCCTGATGTCCACAGTGAAGTGGAACTCTTTTGAGATTCTTTTTTTTTTCTTTTAGCACAGGGCGTCCAATCAATGGAGCTTTAGGGCCACGCTAAAAAAAAAGAAAACTAAAAAAAAAACATTACGAACGAGAATAAGTCATAGTACTACGAGAATAAAGTCATAGTACTATGAGAATAAAGTCATAGTACTACGAGAATAAAGTCGTACGACAATAAGGTCATAATATTACGAGAATAAATTTGTAGTATTATGAGAGTAAAGTAGAAACAATACAAGAATAAAGTCATAATATTACCAGAATAAACTCGTAATATTCTGAGAACTCCAACACAAAAAAGCAGTCTTACAACGGCGGTAAAATGATGAATGTTTACGTCAGCAGTACAATAGCAGGGGGCCCACTGCACTGTGGCTTACGGATTCTTACAATAAACTGAAGACATATGGCATTGCAATTATTGGCTGCATTGATGAATTTAGTCATCACATAATGTGGATGGAGGCATATTTCACAGTTACCCAGAAGTGATTGCGGACTACTTCATAAACACAGTGACTCATTGGAGGCTGTCCACAACAGGTGCGAGCTGACCCAAGACGTATTACGAATTTATCCTCGTAATACTACAAATTAATTTTCATAATAGTTCGAGTTTGTTCTCGTATGACTTTATTCTTGTAATTTTATGACTTTTTTTCTTGTTTTGTTTTTTTGCGTGACCCTAAAGCTCCATCGTAGTCCAATCCTACTCCTTGAGGGCTGCTATCCTGCACATTTTACTTGTTTCCCTGCTCCATCACACTTGATTCAGAGGATTAATTACATTTTCATGTTATGAAAATGCTTTTTATTACCTATATTTTTCAAATCAGGTATGTTGGAGTAGGGACACCTCTAAAACATACCGGGTAGTGGTCCTTGAGGATGGATTGGGCAACTCTATTGTAATAGATAGCAGTGACAGCTGGCCAATAGAGGGAGCAAGGGCGCCACCGCACCACTCGCCACATTACCTTGAATAAGACATTAAAAAATAAGAAAAATGAAATAATAAAATTTAAATATTTCAAAATATATTTATATGTTTTTTTTTGTTGTTGTATAAGATAAATATTTTATAGTTAATGATGAGTAAAGTTGCTTTGTTCAGCGACGTTGTCTGATTGGTGACGGATTTCCACCCTGGGGCTCAAAAATCTTTGCTCATAGACTCTCGTTAAAAGTTGCACATCCTATTCAATAATAAAAATTTAAAAAAATTAGGATAATTCTGGGCACACCTTTCCTACTCCCAGAGCTGAATGCAACTCGATTTGCATACCATCACCCTCTGGCGGTGGGAGGGTGGGACGTCCACCACAGGGCTGATGTCACAGCCGTCTGTCATAAAGTTCACCTGATTGACAGGTCGAGCCGTGGGAGTTGGAGACGATCAGACAGAGATGCGAAATGGAGCAAGAGAAATTAAATAAGTCTGTGAAGTCACTTTAAACAACACCTTTTGAGAGACGAACATATCAGGAGACGCTACAGGTGAAAAAGCTTGAACCTGCAGCCGAACATCACAATTAATCAGCAGTCCAAAGACAGAGGGAGACAGTACACTCTGTCTTTTCCAGGATCTGGTTTAGCAACAAGGCGTGGCTAACTGCATGTAGCAAGGCTAATGCTTTATTCTGCTTTCCCTGCCTCCTTTTTTCAAACATCAGGATCTGACCCAGCATAAATAAGACAGGTATGACTAATTTAAAGCATTTTTTAGAAAAGGCAAAGAAGCATGAACAATCTGGATCCACATGGAAAATGCACTGTGACTAGCCATGTTTGCGAAAATGAACATTTCATCTCAGCTTGATGAAGACTGCAGGGAAGGGATCTGTAAGCACAATGAGGAGACTGACAAAAACGATCAATCGCAAGAAGATCCAAGATGTCTATGTAAATGCACACTATGTCCACTGCTATGCTCACCAACTTAATTTTATCACGCAGCAGGTGACTTCCCATATCCCAAAAGTGAGTAATTTCTTCTCAGACCTGACTGGATTATTTGACTTTTCTTCAAGATTTCCAAAGAGAACCAGCATGCTCAATAGAGTGGGGGCCCACAAACTCCAAGAGCAAGTACAGTGGAACTTCCACAGCCGAGCTGTGAACAATGTTTTTGAGCACAAAGAAGACTTGCTCCAGTGTTTTGACACCACCAGGGACTCGGGAGAGTTTGATCCTACCACTGTTAGAGAAGCTGGAGGGTTTGTGAAGCTGCTGGAGGATAATGGTTTCAGCTTCTTCCTGAAACTGTTCCATCTCACCATGCCGCTCTACAGCCAGCTCCAGAAGCAGACCATGGACTCAGTCTTTGTTCAGGGAATCACGCAGCAGTTCACAGACTACATACAAAAAAATCAGCTAAATTAATGTGTATGTTGTGCTGTTTAATATTACTGATAGTTTGTTGTTAATGCTTGAACTACTTCACATTTCTTGTTATTTTACCTGGTGACTAAAGATGAACTGTTCTCTTCTGGTCCTGTTCAGAGATTCCCTCCCTACTCTGTAGAAAACTACGTGATATTATAATGTTGCTTTTGTTGTATTTATTCATGTAAATACACTGGTGTGATACCTTTGCAAATGTTTTGGTATATGTCTATTTTGGAGTTTTAACCCTCCCTGGAGAAAACTCCACCTGCCACCACTGTAGATAGGCCCTTTCCTTGAAGAACATTCAGAAGACTGGTGATTGTAAAATACCAGACAAAATTAATTCCACCTTTATTTAAACAGGTTAGTCCCATTGACTAGTGATTCTCTGGGAAGTCTCTCAGCCAAATGCAGGACTGTGTTTCTTCCTATTCCTATCTGTTAAATTTGAGTGAAATGTTACCATGTAGGTTTAAAAATCCAATACAAAGCCACCTGCACATACAAAGATGACCACTTTTAATCCTGTTAGATTCAGCTTCCCAGGAACAAACTGTCAAACTGAATAACAGCCGATAAATAATATCTAGGATAGATTGCTCACAACACCTTTACCCTAGATTAAGAAGTAGAAGTCATATTACTCAAACATATTTCTACTTGTTACTCTTACTTCTTCTTTGTTTTTGTTGCTCAAAATGAAAAATCACAGATCTCTACATGTTGGTTTTGGCTCAAGCAGGACTCCAGTACATCAAGAGCTGTATCATGTTCATCTTTGTCTCCTAAGTCAAGTTCTCATCCTCTCCTGTTGAGCTCGTTGGACTTTCATCTTCTTAAAGATCTACATCTAAAAATACTCAATAACTCTGTGCAAAATGTTATTTGTCTTTGTGAAAGAGCAGTCTACTAAACAAACGTTAAATACATCTTAATAAATACAAATACAAAATCCTGCCGTGCACTACAGGATAC